CACGCCCACCCACCCATCCACTATTTTTTTCTTCTTTTTTTTTTGGTTCCCTTCTTCAATAAAGAAAATGCCACTAATCAGAGATAATAAAGTATAAAGAGCAGGAAAGTTCTCTTTCATTTGTTCTTCTCTCTCTCTCTCCCTGCTCCCAGTAATTGTCTTCCCGCCGTGCAAAAAGGTAAACTCTGTTCTTTCCCTCCTTTTCCACAAGGCCACGATAATGCTGACATTTTTGAAAGTACAGTATGCGGGTGGTTGGCGGGTGCTCTGGTGTGGTTTGCTCCTTCTTTCCTATCAAACATCTATCGTCCTGATCTCTCCTCCTTCTTTTTTGTGTTTGTTACTCTCTTGTAACACCTCTAATCTTCAGCACTTATATGACCTTATTGTGTTGCAAGTGCCGTAAAACTCTTACTAAAAACTAAAAGTACACTAGATCTATATGCAGTTTCTACAATTTTTGAGAAGAACATCCTCCCTCTCCCACTAATAAACCCAACAAAACCAACAGACCAACAAGTGAATATTGCTAATAAGAAAACAAACTTTTTGCAAACAACCCAAGTATAACTTTTAAAGAATACAATTTGGATAATAATTTCCTGACTATTCTCTTTCAAATGTTGTTTTAATACAAAATTCATGGGTTTTTTTGGCTCTCCTAACGATGTAATTAATGGTACTATTTGTAACCTGTTTTGCGCGCTCCTATAACATTGGAAAACCTGCATACTATACCGTATTTTTACAAATGACGACAGTATAGCTTTGATCGTAACACTAAGCACATGGTAGTCCTCCTTTCCCTTGTCTGTCTGGTTCCAACCGTAAAGGTCAGAGGTTAAGTGCAGAATCTGTTCGCACAGGAATTAGTGTTTGTGCAGCTGATTGACTGAACAATGTGGGTGGCTGGCGGGTGCTCAGGTTGGGTTTGCTCCTTCTTTCCTACCAAACATCTGTCGTCCTGATCTCTCCTTCCTCTTTTTTGTGTTTGTTACTCCCTTGTAACACCTTTAATCTTCGGCACTACTTACATGACCTTTTGTCTTGCAAGTGCCGTAAAACTCTTACTAAAACTAATAATCGTCCCAAAAGATAGATAGCCTTCTAATCGTCAAGGAGCAAGGAGAGGCAGTTTGAACAAGGAGCATTTTCCCAATGTAATTCGATGAATATCTTGATAACGACTCCGAATAATCTTACGATTTTCATAGAGCAGATAGAGCAAAGAGCGCTCTCGCCATAGTCTTGCCTTGGCTGGCCCCACCAGTGTAAACATACCCTTATGCTTGTATATAAACTACACATGTTGGGACTCTGTCACTCACTCTCTCCCCCCCCCTCTCTCTTTCTCTCTCTGTGTCTCTCTTTATCTCTCTTTATCTCTCTCTACACCTCTCCCCCTCTCTCTCTTTCTCTCTCTTTCACTCTCACTCTTTTTCTCTCCCCCCCCTCTCTCTCTCTTTCTTCTCTCTCTCTCTCCATCTCCTTTTCTTTCTCTCCCTTTCTCTCTCTCTCTCTCTCTCTCTCTCTCTCTCTCTTTCACTCTCTCTCTCTTTCACTCTTTCTCTCTTTCACTCTCTCCCTCTCTTTCTCTCTTCCTCTCTCTTTCTTTCTCTTCCCCTCTCTCTCTCTCTTTCACTCTCCCT